GTCACGGAACGGATTAAGTTCGTATCCCGAGGTACCACTGTATATAAAACTTGAAGTAAATACAAATGAGTGCAGTGGACTTTGCTCCTAGCCAAATTTGTATAATCTAAATTTGCCTTGACATCTACGAGGTGATATGATCATATTGTAGTTTTCCTGCATCAATTTAGTTGGCAAAAATAAATTAATTAATCTGTTACATTTATATCTATTTCAAACATTATTATCCAATGTTTACCATTTAACTCTGAAGACATGCTGCTTGTATTTACCTCTGTATATTGCCTGAGAAATGTTTGCTACTTTGCTTCTCTAATTGCAGTAGATTACATCAGCATGGAAAGTGGTAACAGTTCTGGATGTAATCTTGGGATAACTTTTATGAGATAGACTATTGTCCTGCAACTGAATAAACCTACAATTAAATCCAACAAAGACATTTCCTCATTTCTTAATATTAATGCGATGTTTTTAAAGATTCTATGTGGTCTTAGAAATATTTTCTAGGTGAAATACTGTATTCTGTACGTTCAACTTTTCAGGAATTTGATTCATAATGAATCAAGGCCATCTGTTACTGTTTATCACCTTATATTATTATATATCGCCACATTTACATGATAGTATGAAATTACTTTCTCACTAGTTCTATAAACTAAGCTTCCTTCCAAATGTGTTGTTGAGAATTATTGGAGTTGAAAACCAGAAGATTTTGGAGGGTACCAGACTGAAAAAAGGCAGCTTTGAACAGTAAGAGTTAATCTAGTATTAAAACGTTTATCACAATCAATATTTGTGTAGACATGCCTAAGATCTCATGATGATTAGTTATTGTTTTTAATGAGAACATGATTTTTCATGTAGTAGTTCATATTTCGATACTGTATATGAATTCACAAGATGTTTATTAATCTGATGAAACTGGATATAATTTAGAGAAAGCATATGCTAAAGCAAATAGGCTTGAATTATGAAATACTTTGCACAAATGTGGATGCCAAATGCATTAGGAGTGTTATATGATGGAAGTAAACCACCCATGAGAATAAGTGAAATGCTAACAAGTAGTTTAACACTAAATGGGAAGTAAGACAAGGAGGTGTGATATTCCTTGATTGTTTAATGTAATTATGGAGAAAAATACTTGTGATGTTCATGTATTGCTTGATGACATGATAATATCTGTACTTTTATATGCAGATGATGCCTTGTTGTCAACTGAGAACCCAAATGATTTGCAACAAACCATTTATAAATGTTGTTAGCATAAACATAGATTTAGCTATATTTCCTTTTATGACTTTAAATTATTTTGCTTACTATTTCTTACTCTTTTTTGTGCTTTGCATAACATTTCATACCTTGAAAGGCATTAGCATGATGGTTATGTACACATACATGTATCTTTGGCAAAGCATGTACCATGCTAAATTGGAGGAAACTTAGCTTACTTGACAAACATTCAAATACTTTTTTTTTTGCAGAAGGGGAAAAAAATGTAAAACCCTAAAGGTGGAGAAGTAAACTGTTCCTAATAATAACAATAGAGGAAGGGAAGTCAAAAGAGACTATGTCAGATAATGAGCAGTGAAAAGTGATAGGGAAAAATCTTGGAGTTTGCAGTAGTTACTCAAGTTTTGTAGTGCAATGTTAATTTTGTGGAGAAAGAAATGCTAGCTTTTGGACCATTGATACTTATCTTGTTCTATAGTAAGAAAAAATACAAAGGATTTGTTTCTGGCCATATAGGTTGTCCCCAGTTTGAGAACGAGTTCTGTTCTCAAGGTCTGTCCTTGAGTCGAATTTGTATGTATGCCAGAACAGTATTCTTGTATAATACTGTATAAGTAGTATTGTGTAATGAACTTGAACAATTGTGTTTTTAACTCAAATCATTGTGTATTTAACTTGAATTTTGCTACAGTACACTCCGTTCTTAACTATGGGTTGTCTGTAACCCAGGAGTTCTTAACCCGGGAACTACCTGTACTTTGATTTTCTCAGCAAGCAAAGTTTCCATTGTGTTAATTGATTAGCCACTTGGTATGAATTTCATGCTTAGTCTGAAATGCTGAGAAGTAAAATGTGCCATTACTTTCTTAAAGATTGATATTTTCAAAGGTGATTTAAAGGTGGTGATGGGGAATCCAGTGGCTATGTAAACTGTATTTGGGAGCACTGTACCACTCCTAATTTGAAATGTAGCTCAAAAATATCGCTTGTAGCAGAAAGCAACATCTTTGTTTGGACACAGAGAGATAAAAATAAGGAGAAATCAAGAATTGCAAAATACTTTAGTGAAGTATATACAGAAATATCTACTCCTTTTTTCAATATAGGAAAAATATATCGTTATCTGAATCTGCTATCCTGCAATTATGGCTTCGTCACCTTCCTAGTCTGGAGAAAGCAATACTACAAAATGTTGAACAGTTAATATCCAGTCAATCAAGGTCAATGCAAGAGATGGCACGTACGATAAAAGATTCCTTACTGGTGAGTATGGTCTGCTGCAAGTACTGGAAACTCAATGCCTGTGGGCTCTAGAGCACCTACCACCTCTCTAGTCAATGCTGCAGTCTCCCATTATTATGACTTCAACTTCCTCTTGTTCAAAAGGCCAAGTATTTCACAAATACTCTTACTTTTAGGGACAAACAGTCCAGTGATTGTATGTTTGTATCTCCTTTTCAGCTTTGTTGGACTAACTGCCATAATCTCCAGTGAGCAATGCTGTTGAAGATTATGGAAATTTTAATCTGGGGGTGCAGTTTTTATTGGTAAAGATGTCAGGATACAATTCTCATTTGTAATAAGTTTGCTTCTTATTTCAGTTCTTAAGAACTCAATGTCATTGTAAGTAAATTTTACAATGAAATAAACTTTAGCAGAGAAAGGAAAAACCAAACCCAGACTGGCTAATTCTTGGATTTAGTAGATTTTGAGAAGTAGGCACCAAAATCCAGTTCACCCAACTAAAGGAAAGACATGGAAAGGAGAATGGGTTGGAAGGGAGGAATCTCTTATGCTTCCTCAGGAAGTTGATCTTCCCCTTCTTTCCCTTCTAGTTGCTTTCCAATTTCCAACTACCAAAAAAAAAAAAAAAAAAGTAAATAGAGGGCAGAGACTTAGCATGTTGGTATTTTTTTTCCTTCTAAGGTTACTCCTTGCTAATAGTTTAACAAGCAGTTAAATATTTTTACTGGTGCCAAATGCTCTTTTATCTGAGTGTTCAAATTGTACAAAATGTGCTAAGCCAATCATGAAACTCTTTTGGTAGAGAGCACGCAATTCTGTGAGCAGTGCATATAGCATTATAACCAAAGAGCCTTAAAACATCAAAGCAACTAGATTATCCTAAGCTCAGGTACATCTTCCATTCTGCCTCAATCCCAAAATGCATATCTGAAGAGCCATGCTTGTAAAAGGTTCCTAAATATTATAAGTCAGGATTTGGTTCTTATATCTGGTGAGAGGGCAGTCTACAGGAAGGAAGGACGTGTTTTAAAATAAAATTTCAGTGTATATCTAAAGCAGTATGAATGTGATAAATTGCTGCAAACATGTCCAAAAAGACAGAATAGTAAGAAATGGTTTCGAAAAGCCTCCATATTCTAAAAATAAGAATATGACACTGTATGTTGCTATATGGTCTAGATTTAATGATGAGTGTAACAACTGAATTAACTTTGTATAGATATTTGTACATGTAATATACAGGTGAAACTCGAAAAATTAGAATATCGTGCAAATGTTCATTTATGTCAGT